GGGAGCCTCTCCTACCTCTGTGGAAGCATTAAGGAGCAGTGAGGCAAGCAGTAAGAAGCAGCGAGTAGCAGGTCGTTATCTCCCGAGGGGTCCCAGACTGCGAGAGGGCACAGACCGGGCTGAGGGACCCCCCTCCCCCCCATGAGTGCACAAATTTTTGTGCACCGGGCCTCTAGTATTACATAAACTTAAATTAGGTTCCTAAACAGTACCACTTTGACAACAACATGGTACTTTTAAGTATGTTGGTCAAGCCATTTTCCATACATTGCTTTATCTTATCCTCTGGAGAGACAATGTGGGCAGAAATCATTGAGCCCATTACAGAAGGGGAGGGGTGGGGGGGGGAAACAGACTCCAAAAGAGGTCACGTAATCTGCTGAAAGCTGAGTTAAACAATAACCCAAACTCCATCCCAGGTTTCCACTATCAGTGGTAAAAATACTTATCAGCCCCCAAAACACACACACACACACACACACACACACACACACACATACACACACACCCCAGAAGAGAAACCAACATACCAAAACACTTGCTCAGGTTTGTCTGCTTATCTATAAAAACCTTGGCAGACACAACATTCCCAAAGGGCATAAACATCTGCAGCAGGTCCTGATCTCCAAATTCCTGGGGCAGGTGATAGATGAACAGGTTGGCTCCCTCTGGACCTTCAAGACATCCATTGATTAAAAAGATATTAGTGTGAAGCATGCTTATCCTCCCCTCCCCCACCCATTAAAACTATCCGAACACCAACAAACAGATTCATTCATTCATTTGGAGAACTTAAACAGATTCTCCAAATACTAAGCGGGGAACTGAAGGGCATTCACTCAAACAGGTCCCTTCCCTCATGTTTAGCTATGCTCTGTGTCTTACTGAGGGATGTGAGAATTTGACCTTGTAGGAGGAAGGTGTGCTGAGACAATAAAATAGGCAGACTTGCGTGTGGAGCATAAAACCAAAGACTAGATGCTTGTAGAAAAATACAGAAAAGGATGAGGAAAAAAATTATAAACACAACAGGTTTCAAAATTGTGCCTAGAAACTGCAGGGATGGCAAATACATTGAGGCAGCAAGTGGGGGGCAGGAAATGACTACAAAGGGACATGAGGAAATTTCTGGGGGTGATAGAATGTTCTACTGTGATGGTGGTTACATGACTGTATGCATTCATCAAAGCTCACAGAGCTATCTTACAAAAAAGGTGAATTTTACCTTATGTCACTTGTGCCTCAGTAAAAAGAAATTACTTTTTAAACTATGATTAACACTGAGCTCAAAAATAGAATATGCTTTCCTCTTCCAACTACTCAACAATTTTCTAACCACAAAAGAGTTTCATTACAACCACAGTGCAGCCAATTCTCTAGCCACCCTGGCCTCCCTGATGTTGTCAAACACATTAAAGAACCTTGCTGCCTCAGGGCCTTTGCACTTGCTGTTCCTCTGTCCCCATCACTCTGTCTTCCTCTGCTTAAATGGCAACTTAGAGAGAACTTCTCTGAACATTCCATATAAAATGCTGTGTTCCCGGCACTCCCCATCCCCTTTCCCATCCATCATTTTTTCAGAGCATCATTTGGAATACCCTGTGTTCTTACTGGTTTATTGTCTGCCTGCATAGTTCCACCAGTTCCCCTATTATCACATTCTAGGGCACATAAGTGCCTGATTTAGAGCTGGAACCTGGTAAACAGGAGTCCCAGGAGAGGATGCTGCTATGGCAAGAGAGAATACTTATCTTTTTCCCATATTAGTGCTTCAACCTTGCCAGCTCCTGCTTATAATACAAATACAAGCAGAGAGGTGTCAGCAGGGCTTTCTGGTCATATAAACCACCTTCAGGCCCCTTACTGCCTAGAAAGCCTCTCCTGAACTTAATACCATCAGAACACATACTTCCCACTGCATCAACACATGGGCCCTAACAGCGTTCAGTCTGTCCTCACTTAGGAAAGCACAGATCAGAAAGTGAGGAAAACACCAAATGCTAAAGCTAAAAGGAACACCTACCCAGCAGATACCCTTTGACAGATTTATAACCCACAGGGAAGGCTTCCTAATTGCCAAATGTGTCGGACACAGTAAGGTCGGGGTATTTCTTCATCTAAAATGGCAGCCCCAACTCAGAAGGGTGCACAGAGGTTCTGATCTGAGCCACATCCAGAAAACATTCCAAAAGCAGGTCACACATAGGAGTTTCCCATCTTCGACACCGTCAAAGAAAAGGGGTGGTCGGACCACCTGAAAGACTCTGAGCCTTCACCTGCTGTTCAGTTCTGGTGCAGATGGAGAAGCCACCCCGCCCGACCCAGCCACCCTTTGCACTCACCTTCCTTCTGGCTTCCAGCAGCACCAATACTCTGCTGTGTCAACAGATTCTGGTTGTACAGAGTGGGGAGCGCTGCGGCGGCATACTGCTGGATCCCCGAGTAGGCCTGCGTGAGGGCCTCCATGGTGCTCCCAGTGCCATTGGAAAGGCCACTGCTGCCCAGGCCACCATTTAAAGCAGCCATTCCTTGGTTGGGGAAGAGAACAGAATTAACAGTATTGGAAAGACTCAACTAATGCCAAAGAAAAATTCCAAAGTCCTCCCTTTCATCTTGCTCCTAGTTTCACCCTGAGGCGGAATATCCACGTGTGGTCAGACTTCAGGACACTCACCAGAGCTCATTGCTAATGGGGACATTAAAAAATGCCACACCCAGATGTGGCACCTTTTACACATGACTTGCCCCATTTTCTCTAGCCTTCCTGCCACTTTCTCACACAGAGCTGGAACCTGGTAAACAGGAGTCCCAGGATTGGGGACAAAAGGGGGCACATGTGCTCTATGAACAGATGTAGGTAAACTCTATCATTAGCAATAGCAGTAACATTATGGAGTACTAGAGGCCTGGTGCATGGGATTTGTGCACTGGCGGGGGCATGGCCCGTGGGGATCAGCCCGCTGTGGGAGGACTGCTCATCCCAGTCAGCTGAGCCGCTGTGGACCTGCCCTCTGAGCCGCTGCTCCCTGGTCCAGCATCTTCTGTGGAGTTGGAGCGCTCGCCTCCCATGGTCGGGGCCAGGCCCAGGCCCAGGGACAATAGCACTGAGAGGCCGCGGAGTAGGCCTCAGTCCCGCAGCAGTGGTGGTGCTGCGTGGCCTGTGGGCATCTGGAGGAGGCGGCAGGGAGTGAGGAGAGGAGGAGCCTGGGGCGAGAAGGCCATGATTGCAGCCCGGGTTCCTACCCATGGGCCCGGGGTACACAGCGGGAGCAACCACTCATCCCGGTCAGCCAAGAGGAACTCCCACTGTGGTAGCGCACTGACCGCCAGGGGGCAGCTCCTGCATTGAGCATCTGTCCCCTGGTGGTCAGTGTGCATCATAGTGACTGGTCGACTGGTTGTTCCGCCGTTCGGTCGCTGGGCTTTTATTACATAGGATATTCTACATGCCAGACTCTGTACTGAGCAATGTGCTCACACTTTACCTGTGTTCTCATCTGACTTCTTAATAACCCTCAAAGTATCCTGTCCCCATGTCATAGACAAGAAAATGACCTTGAAGCCTGGCTGGTATGGTTCAGTGGTTGAGCATCAACCCATGCACCAAGAGGTTTCCTGGGCACATGCCCAGGTTGTGGGCTCAATTCCCAGTACGGGGCGTGCAGGAGGCAGCCAATCAATATTTCTCTCTCATCATTGATCTTTCTCTCTCTCTCTCTCTCTCTCTGCCCCCCGCCCTCTCTGAAATCAATGAACATTTTTTTTTTTTAAAAGAAAAGAAAATGACTTATGAAAGGTGGTCAAAAGTTATAGCTGGTTAGTGGTAGAGGTGGGATATAACTCATGATTATTATTTTTTAAAAGATTTTGAGAGAGTTGACCTAGCTGGTTTGGCTCAATGGACAGAGCGCAGGCCTGTGGACTCAAGGGTTCTGGGTCGATTCTGGTTGGGGGCACATGACTGGGTTGTGGGCTCGATCCTCACACAGGTGTGAGCAATACATTGATCAGCTGCCTCCTGCATGCCCATTACCAGGGATCAAAGCCCACAACCCTGACAGAGGATCGAACCAGCAACCTTTTGGTGCACAGATGATGCCTAATTAACTGAGCCACCCCAGCCAGGGCAATTCATAATTATTTTTTGGTTCACTGGGCTACTCAATCATTATAACAGTACCCTTACCAGGGTTGTTTATAATGTGCTACCTGCACAAAGGAGGGCCTGATGACATCCATGGGCTGCCTCTCACCTGCCAACGAGCTGACATTGAGGCCTGCTGTTGCTCCAGCTAATGTCTGCAAGGCTCCAAGGGAGGCGATGGGGTTGACAGAGTTGCTACTGCTGGAGCTCGGTGAAGACCCTGCAACAAGAAATCCACAACTTAAACTGAAGCCAACACTTGCCTTTTGAGCAGGAACCAAAGCCCAAGAATGGTACTACTTAAGTATTCTCTTAGAAAAAAGTTTTCAGTTACTAATTTTGATAACTGTTCCTGCTGGACATAAAAACAAATTACAAGAAATTAAAAATTATCAGATGTGTTTCAAGTTAGAAGATGGCATTTGAAAATTTGTTGTTCATCATCTGTCCCCTTTGGAAATGGGTATTAACTGCTCTCAGAATGACGTACCCCTCTCTTAGGATTCTGCCCAAGGCACACAAGGACCCACTGGCCCCTGCTACATGCTTACCTGAACTGGTGAGTACGCTGAGGGGACTGCTGGATGTAGTGAGAGCGTTGGTACCACTCGGTGTGCTCTGAGCAGCACTAGCGGCAGCAGCTAGGGCAGCCAAATTCTGTAACTGCATTGCATTTAACCCTGCAATATCCAAAGCAAGAGATCAGTGAGCAGATAAGAGTGCCTCCTTATCCGCTCCTGGAACAATAGCTCACACCAGTGGAAGGCTAGTTCCAAAGAGGAAATATTCTAGATAAGCCTTACAAGCAATGTTACAGGGTTCCAAAAAGATTCAGATATCCCTCAACTCATTAAGAAACTTGATACCATTTCCTCAGAGAAGAGGGATCTAATTTAATAGCATAGCACCCCAAGTGAGTATTACTAGTAACAAAAGGATGGGCAATCAGGAATCCAGGAAAGGGGGTTGGTCAGTGGTCTACTATGTGCTCAGGTGTCCAAGAGGACAACAATGCCCACACCTGTGGCATCGAATGGGACTGCATCTGAGCCCCTCACTCAGACTTCACAGGGGATGTGCTCTTCAAAATGGAGGTGAACAAGCAGAAAATGTAGCAGAGACCCAGAAAGGAAGGAACAACAGGGGAGAATACATGTGAGAACAGCAAGAGGACAGAGAATAAAAAAAAAACACACCACCACTTGAATAGCAGATTAATCATCAGAAGAGAGAAAAAAACACCGAGGGGAAAACTTCCAAGTAGAACCTGGGCAACAATGAAAAGGAGAAGAAACGTGAACTGCACTGACCATGTGTTGCAAACCATTTAGATGATGGAACGGCAGAGGGGTGGAGGGAAGAATTAATGAAAATAAAAACAACACAGATTTATAATCTAGCAACTTTCTCAGTCCTTGGGACAATGTGAACCACTATCAAAATTTTTCATATGATTAATGCAGTTCACATAAGACCACCCCAATTTCAAATGCACTTGCCTAGCCTTATCCCACAGACAAAGGGGAGGGGCAGCTCCTGTCCCCCACCCCCACTAAGTATTCTGATGGAAACTGCCTCGGGTTTGTCTATGGAGCTCTATTTTGTTATAAGCTCCGGTATTTGTCAATTAAGTTTTCCATGCACGTTAACTGCAACAAAAGGTAATTCACCTATGAAATAGATGTATAAGACACAGAGGTAAACTAACTGCCTGGATTCTAGCAACTTCAGGGTAAGCTATTTGAATGAAAGTATTTCTTAGGCTTTTCTTCAGTCACTGGAAAAGTCACTGTATTGTGGAAATAAAGGGTTCCTGCAACTTTCTCCTGATTAAAATGGCCTCAGGTAGTCTGCTGGTGTTAACAGCTCTTTTCTATCTTCTTCCTCAACAGACACTTAAAAGGAGTGGGGAGCAGTAGACAACTCCAGAACAATCTGGCATAAATGACTAATAGAGTCACCTTCTAGAGACAAGGCAGTTGAATCCTGTGACGTTCACTTTAGGTCAGGTTTACGTGAGTGGAAAATGGTTTTTTTCTGCACAAACGGTGCAAACTCTCAGACTGCTGTTAGCGGGTCTGATGGCCTGGCTGCTGCTGCTCCTCCACAGCAGTGAGACACTTACCTCCCATTGGATGGAGGCTGCTCAGGGTGTTGAGGTTCCCAGAGGAGGCAGTCTGCTGAAGGAGCTGCAAATAAAGCTAGACATTACACCAAAAAACAGAACAAGAGTGAGAGTGAGGGCTGGTTCTGCATCTGGGATAACTCTACAGCACAGCAAAGCGAGAGTGCAGAGGCCCCCAGAGAGAAGAACGTTGAAGACAAGAACCCAAGCCAACACAACAGAAACATAAGGCTTATGACAGCACAATACAATACAACACAGCTAAAGCCCTGGCCCAGAAGACAGTAATGCTCATTGAGTTCTGAGCCAAGCTCAAGAGCTTGGGCGACAGAATGCAGCACAGCAGAGAACAGAAGTAGAGCAGGGAACTAAGCTCAACTCAAGCAGCTCTGTGATCGACTGCGGTGTCTGTGGGGGGATGCCTGCCATTTCTATTTCCATCTGGATACCTAATTTTCTATTTCAAACAACTACTTTAAATATAAAATCTCACTATTTCAGGGTATTTCTTAGTGTCACACTTTATCAGCCACAACAGACCCATGTCTAGATCAACCTCTCCCATGCTACACATCCATCAAGCCCAGTTATCTACTCCCTTCCAAATTGGTCTTTACTGCTGCAGATGTCTGAATGACTGATGAAGCAGTCCTTATCAGTTCAGTGTACATACTCTTTCAATGGATGTCCATAATAAATCTAACAAGAGGATCTGTCCATGAGCTTATGGATCTCCATGACCTTGATCTTCTTTTGTATCAGAGTAAACTATAATCTTCATCTAATCAACCTGCTGAAAACATTTGCTCCATTCAAATGCAATCACTGTTCATTATGAACAATTGGTATTCTTGCTTCTAGATCCTTTATTCAATCTGTTGTCCATTCCCACAAGCATCTGATTTGATTTCTCTATCATGGATCCCTTTAATCCACGGTCTCAGGAGATCTACAAACCTCCAGAAACAGAATGAGGGGGAAAAAACGACGACAACCCCCCCCCCAAAAACCACATACACATGATTTGTATCATGTTCTCAAAGGGGTCCACAATACCACAAAAATTAAAAACCACCACTCTGACCCAAACAGAGATCGGGTTCAATCCACGTACTCCAGAAAAAACTCAATGAATGATGATGCACTATCACTTACACAGCCCATTAGCACCCATGCCTTCATTTTTGTCTTCTTAAATCCTTGGGCAATGTGTTCAGTCCCAGCTGGTAAACTGTGCATACTGTATTTGCCCCCCTTATTTCTTCCCTAAATGAGAATAGCTCCTAGGGAGGGGATCACACCTAAATTAAAGAGACCACAGTTCTCACCATAAACCACCATGTACTTGCTGGATGTGGCAACGAGAACAGGATGGGGACTGCTCCCTGAAAAAAAGGCTCTAAAACTCTCTAAGAAGTTAATGTGTATCATGGAGATCATTTTCAAAGAATTATCATTTTGGCAGAAGACTAAAATTTCTCTGAATTTTCTAAACTTTTAAGCAATGTCCTGGCACTAAGAAACAATTTGATCTATTGAAATAGAACAACCATCTTCACTTTTGGACTTCAGAGAAACTGGGATTTCTTCTAACATATTAGAAGTATGGAGACAGGAAGCATAGTCAAAATTCAGTACCGGGGGCAGAAATCATCGTCTTTGCTGTTTCCATAGAGAATAATCTTTGAAAGGATGAGGAATGGATGACTTATTATCCTATGTGTATATTTTTTGACTACCCATATACATCTAGGGGTCTCACCATTTATTTTCCTTCACTGGTAGCTTTACAGATGACCCTTTCATTCTGATTTACCGATGGCACAGTTTTAATTATGTTGTCTTGTCTGTATTCCTTTAAAGGTTAAACAGTGCAAATCTCCTGGTAATATTGCAGACCTAGTAAATCTTAATAATAAAGTGGAGCCTGCCCCTCTTTTGGACTATATAACTTAAACTCAACAAGAGATCAAATTAAAAGAAATCTATTTACAACACAGCAAACTCAAATATACGAACATTATTTCATAATGTCCATGCCTGATCTCTCAATCAGCAGAAAGAAACATTTATCCTACTCTTCAGGGAGAATCAACAAGGTATTTAATGATGCCTTCTACACCCGACAGAAAGAGATATAGAAAAAGATATTTTATAATTAAGATTCCCTCAGGAATCTTATTCCCTAGGGGGGTAGGGATATAAGTTGTTTCTAAAAAAATTTTTTTATCAGAAAATTATGGTTTCACTTTAACTCAACATATAACCAAAACCCTCAAGATATAACCAAAGATGTGTGACCAGAGAGATAGAGAAAATAACATGAGTTAAAGAACACCTCATTGCCTGAATTTTTACATAAAATTTCAATGTGCTAAAGTTGTGAATGCCATTGTGTCTGGTTGCTGGGGATAGCAGAAGAAACAGCTGGGAGCTTGCACAGTCTGCAGAAAGCAAACCACAAAGACTCACTGCTAAATACTGGGGTCCAAGAGTATTGAGACCAGCAAGGTTTCCCCACACAGATGCTGCGCTGATTTGCTGCATCTGCTGCTGAAGCTGCTGGGCCATTCTCTTCTGCTCTTTGTCCTTCTGTGTATCAGCAAATTTTACCACCATGGGGGATGAGCAACCCTATGAAAACACCAAAACCAAAGGGTCAAATCCTCCTTCTGGGTGAAGGAAAAATCCTCCTTTCTAGTGACACACAGGCTGCATTCTAATTTCATTCACTGCCAAATGACCAGTTCCAATATATTAATTTTAACTTTCATTTAATAACATCTAATCTGTTAAAGAAATCATCAGTTTTTAACTTTTAAGACGTTTGGCCTGCTTAAATTTTAGAACCACCATATGTTGTACATGACACTGGGCTTTGAAGGCCCAAAGTCCTAGCACCCTCAAGCTAAGGAATTCCCCCTTGCATTCATTTCCCTACCTCCATGGTCTGTGCTTGGTGCATTGCCTTGATAGCTGTCTGTGCCATGGCTCTTGTTGTAAAAGTCACAAATGCACAACCTGGTAAAAGAAGGGTCAATAACTCATTCATTCGCTTACTTACTTATAGACATTAACTGAGCACTTAACTATGAGCAAGTACCATGCTAGCAATACATATAGACATGGTTCCTGCCTTCAGAGTTTCATGAAGAGAGAACTATGTTACACCAGAGTGGTAAGTGCTATAATGAAAACCCAGGGAAGCAGAAATAAGAAACAAAGTGCTTAAAAGATAAAGGAGGATTCATAGCATCAAGTTCCTCCTGCGAAGAAAGTGTTTCCATTTTAACATCAAGAACCTCTCTAAGCATAAAAAGAGAGAATTTTAATACATGACACTGAAGAACAGAATATAAACTCCTTAAGGATGTTGGGAGAATACAAAAGGGATCAAATTAAGGAAGAGTTGTGACAGGACCTACACATACAACTTCAAGCCCAACTTCTCCATCATGACAGAGCCATATTGGCTAGGGATTACTGGTTTCCACTGTTCATATTAAAAAAACAACTCCAAATTCAAAATAAGCATCTTTTAAAATTTTATATATACAGAGAGAGAAACATCAATTTATTATTCCACTTATGTATGCATTAATTGGCCGATTCTTGTATGTACCCCAACTGGGGATCAAACCTGCAATCTTGACATACCAGGACAATATTCTTACCAAGTGAGCTACACAGGCCAAGGGCAAGATAAGTATCTTTTTTTAAATATATATTTTTATTGATTTCATGGAGAGAGAGAGACAGAAACATCAATGATGACAGAGAATCACTGATTGGCTGCCTTCTGCACGCCCCCTAATGGGGATTTAGCCTGCAACCCAGGCATGTGCCCTTGACTGGAATTGAACCTGGGACCCTCCAGTCCGTAGGCCAACTTTCTATCCACTGAGCTAAACCAGCCAAGGACAAGATGAGTATCTTTAAAGTTAAAAAATGTACCCACCTCGGCTCAGTCCATCAGGTCCCCGCAATATCCGACATTCTTCAATCTGTCCAAATGAAGAGAACATGACTCGGATGTCATTTTCAGTGCACTTCTTGGAAATCATACCAATAAACAGCTTCCTGTCTTCCACTGCTAAGAGAATAAAACACAGAAGGCTTGAACATTATTACTACAAGAGATAGTAGAGCAGACTCTGGAGTCAAGACCACCTGAGTTTGAAACCTGGCTCTGGTGCATGTATACCATATTTCACAGATTATAAGATGTACCTTTCCCCCCCCATAAGTTAGCACCTCCTCTTATAAATGATGATATCTTAAAAATATCATTGAAAGCACTTAGGTGAAAAGAAATAGCTTTATGAGCTTGTGAAAGTTACTTAACCATTCTGTGCCTGTTTCCTCATCTGACTGGTAGGGAAATGGGGTTTACCTCAAAGGTAGCTGTAGGTATGAAAAGCACAGCACTTAGGTTGTTGCCTAGCACTCAGTAATATTTGCTCTTTTTTTAAAAAAATATATTTTATTGATTTTTTACAGAGAGGAAGGGAGAGAGATAGAGAGTTAGAAACATCGATGAGAGAGAAACATCGATCAGCTGCCTCCTGCACATCCCCCACTGGGGATGTGCCCGCAACCCAGGTACACGCCCTTGACCGGAATCGAACCTGGGACCCCTCAGTCAGCAAGCCGACGCTCTATCCACTGAGCCAAACCGGTTTCGGCAGTAATATTTGCTCTTACTAGCAATATTACTATGCTAAAGAATGAGTTTGCACATTTAATTAATATGGTAAAAGAAACAGGACACACCTTACAGAGAGTCTAACTTTATCCACTTTCCTTTTCTGACTATCCTCTTGAGGACTAAGTTCTCCTTCCTAATTTGTTCATTTTCCCTCCTCACTTCTAGCCATAAGAAATTATATTGACCAAAAATATTCCAGTTCACTATAAAAAGTTCTTGTAATGTTTCCCTATCAACTCTATTTATCTCAGTTATCTGTCATACTTATTTTAAAGAAAAAAAATAGATAATTTAGATGACATTAGAGCAATGAACCACTATCTTATACAATACACCAAAAATTAACTAAAATGGCCCTGGCTGGTTTGGCTCAGTGGAAAGAGCGTTGGCCTGCAGACTGAAGGGTCCCGGTTTCGATTCCAGTCAAGGGCACATGCCTAGTTGCAGCCGATCAATGATTCTCTCTCATTACTGATGTTTCTAGCTCTCTCTCCTTCTCCCTTCCTCTCTGAAATCAATAAAAATATATATATTTTAAAATTAACTATAATGGATTAGACTTGAATATAAGACTTGAAAACATAAAACTCCTGGAAGAAAACCATACTTGGTAAGTTCCTTGACATCGGTGTTGGCAATGACTTTTTTGGATCTGACTCCAAAAGTAAAGGCAACAAAAGCAAAATAAAAAAGTGGGACTACAAACTAAAAAGCTTCTGCATAGCAAGAAAAATCAACTAAATGAAAAAGCGACCTATAAAATGGGAGAAAATATTTGCAAATCATGTATCTGATAAGGGGTTACTATTCAAAAAATATAAAGAACTTATACAACTCAAAGGCAAAAAAAGAGAAAAAAACCCCATTTGATTAAAAACTGGGCAGAGGATCTGAATACACATTTCCCAAAAAAGGACATACATATGGACAACAGACACATAAAAAGATGGTCAACATTACTAATCATCAGGAAAATGCAAGTCAAAACCACAGTGAGGTATCACTTCACACCTATTAGGATGGCTATTATCAAAAAGCCAAGAAAGGGTCCTGACTGGCATGGCTAAGTGGTTAGAGTGTGGTTCTGCAAACCGGAGGGCCGCGGATTCAAGGGCATGTACCTGGATTGCAGGTTTGATCCCCAGCTCTAGTAGGGATGTGTGTGAGGCAACCAATAGATGTGTGTGTCTCTCACATCGATATCTCCCACCCCCTTCCTTCCCTTGCACTCTTAAAAAAAAAAAACCAATGGGAAAAATATCCTGCGATGAGGATTAACAAAAACAATAAACAAACAAAGCCAAGAAAGGAACAAATGTTGGCAAGAATTTGGAGAAAAAAGAATCCTTGTGCACTGTTGGTGGGAATGTAAATTAGTGCAACCGTTACAGAAAATAGTATGGCAGCTCCTCAAAAAATTAAAACTAGAACTGCCACATGATCCAGCAATTCCACTTCTGGGTATTTATCTGACCAAAATGAAACCATTAACAAAAAAATACATGGATACTTATATCCATTACAGCACTATTTACAACAGCTGAAATACGGAAACAACCAAAGTGTACAGTGATAACTGAATAAAGAAAATGTGTGTGCACAGCACACGCACAAACATACACAGAGAGAAATATGATTCAGTCATAAAAAGGAATAACATCTTGCCATTTGTGACAACATGGATGGAACTTGGGGGCGTTATGCTAAGTGAAATAAGTCAAACAGGAAAAGACAAATACCAGTATGACCTCTCTTCTATCTTAAAAAAAGAAAACAAACCCCAAACTCATACAGAAAACAGATTGATGGTTGCCAGTGAAGGGGCCCAAAAGGTACAAACTTCCAGTTATAAAATAAGTAAGTCATGAGGATGTAAGCTGCAGCATGGAGACTGCAGTTAATAATACTATTCTGCATATATGAAAGTTGCTAAGAAAGTAGATCTTAAAAGTTCTCATCACAAGAAAAAATTTTTGTAAGCAAGTATGGTGACAGATTTTAACTAGCCTTATTGTGGTGATCACTTCACAGTATTTATCAAAACATTATGCTGTACACCTGAAATTAACATAATGCTATATGTCACTTTTACCTCAAAAAGGAATTAGAGCACAATGCAATCCAGATGCCATGAGAGCAGCAGACTAGAAAAAAAACCTGATAAGGGGAGGGCCTACATGCTTGCTTACCATTGCTCTTCTCACTGTCGGCAGGTTTCATTTGTATAGGATGATGCATCTGAAAAGGAGAACATGTATTATCGCTGTACACACTGAAGCAGAAATATAAATGAGGACTCTAAAGAAATAACAAAACTAGGGCCTGTAAGAGTTCTCTTGAACTCACATCTGCTTCATGACCTTTGCCCCACAAAATATCAGAATATATAGAACTCTGAATTAAGAAGTAAAAATTCTCTTGGCTGAGGAAGAACTACTTTCAGCCTATCATCTTTAAAAGTTCCCTTTACATCCATTCCTGTGAAAGTCAATGTGTATCTGATACATATAAGTACATGCCATGTGTCAAAACCACCATAGTTCCACTTAGTAGGAGCTTTCTTACCCCTGGGAGGACCTTCATATTGTGAAGAGCATTCTGTGCTTCTAATGCAGCTTTGCGGGTGTAAAACGTAACAAAACAGCACCCTGCAATAAAGACCATTTCACAAATCAAACCAGTCTTTTGAAAGTAGAGAATTCCTAGAGCACTCAGTACTCCCTGGACATACAGGGTTGGGGCAAAAGTAGGTTTAGAGTTGTGAGTATGCAAAACAGAATTTATTCTTGCATCGCTAGTATTTACTGAATTATTCCCCAAACAACTGTAAATCTACTTTTGCTCCACCCTGTATTAGAATTTAAAAAGAAAGAGTAAGGTTTATTAAAATTAGTGAGAGAAAATCTAGCAGAAAAAAAAAACAAAAAAAAAAACCCACATTTTTTTCTATGCATTTTCTTTATTGTTATAGTCTCTTAGTTCCATTAAAATTCTTCTTTAGCTGCTCCTATCACTTCTCTGGGAAAGATGACTTCCCTTACAAAGGTCACAGTACCAAGCCATTCAGCCCACCCTATTTGAAGCATCAGGTAGTGTGCTGGGCAAGAGAACTCAACTACAAACAAGACAAAGAGGGGCCTTAAACACTTGTGGCTCTTCATCTATCAGAAGCTCTTCATCTTTCAAAAACTTTCTCTTTTAGAATAAACCACTCCTTACATTGTAGCCAATTTCTATCATATGCCTCAAACATAATTATCATTTTAAATTATAAAATGATTTAAAAGCAAGAACCTCTTAGTATCTTTTTTGAGGGACTCTTAGTTCTCATCAAATATAATTATGTTTCTAGCAGCACATGGTGCTAACTGAGATCTGTAAATTTTGTGCTTTGTATCTTTGCTGGGGATAGGAGGGAGGAGGTGTATTTTGTAAATCTTGGGTCCATAGTCCAAGAGACACGATACAGATGTCTTTAAAAATCACTCTGCAATTAAGATTTAAATTACTGCACATTATATTGCCAGTCATTTTCAGAAACTACAAGACTTTAGAGAAAGAGGGGAAGCAGGCGGGGGAGTGGCGGGGAGAAGACCGTATCAATTTCTTGTTCCACTTATTTATGCATTCATTGGTTGATTCTTGTATGTGCCCTGAACTAGGATCAAACCTGCAACCTTGGCATACTGGATGACACTCTAACCAACTGAGCTACCCAGCCAGAGCTGAAACTACACTACTTTATATTTTTGGTTAAAAATGCCAAAAATAAAAATTAATCTCTCTGCTTCTAGATCCTGTTATTAAACTGGCTTTCAAACATGACAATCATACTTGTTGATATTTGCACTGTAGAACAGCTTTCACAGAAAATTATTCTGAGTTGGTCACTTGGAAATATAAGAGTATGTCTGTGTGTGTAGTGGCAAAGGTTATGCTTTATCGACCATCAGTCCTGTGAAACTTCCACTCTGCTGGATATATCTGGAAGCAGTTCAACCTTTCTTCTCCTGTTCATTTTATAAGCTATAGCAAATAGGTTACCTACAAAAAAGGCTCTCCTAGTTGCTAAGTCAGCCTGCAAGGCTTTTATATACAATAACAGAAATCCATGGGTACAGGGACAGTCTTTTTCTTTCCATGGCATACCCCTCCCATTAGAATTAGCTTACCATAGCCAAAACACTAAAGAAAACCTTATGTGATCGGTTTACTAAATGGACTACCCAAGATCCAAATTACAAATCAACCTCATTAAGTCACTTTAATTTTTTATTTTTAAGTCATTAAATTGATTTTGGCCTGGAATATATCTATAATAATAAAAGCGTAATATGCTAATTAGATTGGACGTCCTGCAGGACAAAGCTGGGGCTGCAAGGGAGGCCCAGGTCCCGGATGCCTGCCGGTGGCGAGAGGGAAGGCCTACTCTTGCACAAATTTTGTACATCGGGCCTCTAATAGGGACTATAAAAGAACATATCCCCCCCACCCCATATGACCATAGGAACATTCTGAAAATGAGACAGTATGCACATGACAAAAAATTGCACATAAAACCAAATCTTCACCTTTGCTCTGAGGAGGGTTTTGGCTCCTATCTCTTAGAACGTTGATTTCATAGACAGCACCATACTGTTCAAAGAGTTCCCTCAAGTCCTTCTCAGACCAGGTCCTCGGAACCTGGCCCACAAACATCTTGATAGCATCAAGATCCGGTTGGTCTGGGTGGTCCAGGGTGCCGTTCATTTTCTTTGAGCTGCATTAGATAAAATAAAACTACTATTATGCATTCACGTTGCTCTCTAAAGGGAGTTTTGTTTCCTTTAAAGACTTCAACTACTTCCTGGGAAAGTGGGGGGTGGGGGAATCCACTTCCTTTCATGACATCCATTCAATTTACCAGAGTTCTCGGGTCCTCCCTCACCATGGTCACCCCTCCTATTAGATTTAGATCCCAAACTAAAGCGCCATTTTGATTAAGACATCCTACGGCAGTGATGGCGAACCTTTTGAGCTCGGCGTGTCAGCATTTTGAAAAACCCTAACTTAACTCTGGTGCTGTGTCACATATAGACATTTTTTGATATCTGCAACCATAGTAAAACAAAGACTTATATTTTTGATATTTATTTTATATATTTAAATGCCATTTAACAAAGAAAAATCAACCAAAAAAATGAGTTCGCATGTCACCTCTGACACGCGTGTCATAGGTTTGCCATCACTGTCTTAGGTTTTAATTAAGAAATTGAGTGTCACTTATTCCTTATCTAGCATGAGAATTCTCAGAAGAACTTAAAAGGCAGAGTTTCTAAAGCAAATTTTAATAATTTTAACAAAGGTTTTTTTTAATGTCCATAAAATAAACAAAGGACTATTAATTATAAGATTCAGGACTCTCAATAGTACAATGATATGATTGTTATCTTCTATAATAATAAAAGGGTAATATGCTAATTAGATCGGACTTCCTTCTGGATGAAGCCGGGGCTGTGAGGGAAGCTAGTGCCGGCAGCTGGGGAAAGGAAAGCCTATTCTTGCACAAATTTCACGCATTGGGCCTCTAGTATATAATAAAAGACTAATATGCAAATTGCCCCTAGACTGGGAGTTTGACCAGGGGGCGGAGCTGAACAGCCAACCGCCTGAGCCGCCCCCCCAGACCTGCACCCAACTTCTAGTTGTTATATAAACATAAACAATGATGTCATCATTCTAGGTTTTTATTGTTTCTAAGTTATCCAATTTAATGCTACTTTTCTAAGACTTTACCAGTTAGTTCCCTTACCAACTGCAACCATTCCAACAAATTCCTCCAATCTTCTCACCAAACTTGTAATGCTCATACTTTAATACCTTCATTGCTACCCCTGCAATTGCCAAGAACCTCAGGAGATTCTTACACTACAAATACTTCTACCATTCAAAATAAATCAAAGACCTTCCCTACCATTGTTTTAAGATCAACATCAGTAACAACTTAAATTCCAAAGAGCCATCATAATGAACTTTTATGCTAGTGTTGGCTGTTTAATCCAAAACCATATCACCATATTCAAATTTGCCATGTTTTAATATCTAACCCTAAATAAAGTAATAGTTTTCATTAAAGGAAACATGTTTTTACACTATCTTTTTTAAAAAGTATTGTTTAAAGTATTACATGTCTCCTTTTTCCCCCACTGACCTCTGCCCAGCCCTTCCCACCCACCAGCACATGCCCTCGCCCCTCTATTGTCTGTGTCCATGGGTATTGCTTATATGCATGCATACAAGTCCTCTGGTTGTTCTTACCCTCCCCACCCCCCTCCCCCTCACCTTCCCTCTGAGGTTGGATGGTCTGTTTGACACTTCTATGTCTCTGGATCTATTTTTGTTCATCAGTTTATGTTGTTCATTATATTCCACAAATGAGAGAGATCGTGTGATATTTATCTTTCCCCAACTGGCTTATTTCGCTTAGCATAATGCTCTCCAGGTCCATCCATGCTGTTGCAAATGGTAAGAGTTCCTTCTTTTTTATAGCAGCATAGTATTCCATTGTCTAGATGTACTACAGGTTTTTTTTTAAATATTTTATTGATTTTTTTACAGAGAGGAAGGGAGAGGGATAGAGAGAAACATCAATGAGAGAGAAACATGGACCAGCTGCCTCCTGCACACACACCCCGGGGATGCACCCACAACCAAGGCACATGCCCCTGACCGGAACTGAACCGAGGACCCTCCCCCCTCCCCCGCCCGCAGGCCGACGCTCCATCCACTGAGCCAAACCGGCCAGGGCAGTACTACAGTTTTTTAATCCATTCATCTGCTGAAGGGCACTTAAGCTGTTTACAAATCTGAATTTGTGAACTGTGCTGCTATGAACATAGGGGTGTATATATCCTTTCTGATTGGTGTTTCTGATTTCTTGGGATATATTCCACTGCTAACTTCTGAATAGTATTTGAAGATCATTGAGAATGATGAATCTATAAAAGCAGCTCAACCACTATCTTTTAATTCCTAAATCTCTTGTAACTGAACACCCACCAGGGCTAGTCTCACATCACCTTTACTGAACCTAGCATTAACATATATTTTTATTGATTTCAAAGAGGAAGGGAGAGGGAGAAAGAGAAATACCAATGATGAGAGAAGCACTGATTGGCTGCCTCCTGCATGAGCCCCCTCCCCGCCATTAGCCCACAACCCAAGCATGTGCTCTGACTGGGAATGGAACATTGACCTCCACTGAGCCACACTGGCCAGGCTAAACAAACTCTTGTCACTATGTCTGTAGAGGGTCCCCATTCTCTAGCTCTTAGTCTAGAGCTCCTTGAATGCAGAAACAATTTTATTTCTTATTCATCCTTGTAGCCACACTTGGTATAGTGCCTGGTTCAAAGTAAGCACATACTCAATGTGGGATGGGAGAAATTTCTTGTTCTCAACAATCCCCCTATTTAAGCAACTAACCCTCATAAAAATACATGTTGTGCATAAACAGGACTCACAAATAAAAGAGCAGCTATTATCTCTTATGATTACTTGATTGTCACAGGATCAATCTACCTGTAGTAGAGGTTTAAGGGAGCAAAATATGAGATAATGGAAGATAATTTGATTTTGGATGGTGGGCACACAATGCAATATACAGATCATGTATCATAGAAATCTACACTTAAAACCTATATAATCTTGTTGACCGGTGACACCCCAATAAATTAAATTAAAAATAGAATAAGCACATGCCGAAACCGGTTTGGCTCAGTGGATAGAGCATCAGCCTGTGGACTGAAGGGTCCCAGGTTCGATACCAGTCAAGGGCACATGCCTGGGATTGCCGGCTCGATACCTGGTATGGGGAGTGCAGAAGGCAGCTGATCAATGATTCACTTTCATCATTGGTGTTTCTCTCTCTCTCTCCCTTCCTCTCTGAAATCAATAAAAATATTTTTTTAAAAAAGAAAAGAGGCAGGGTTTTAATAACTTGTATTACATTATAAGAAAATGCTTTCAGCTTATCCCTTCCATCTATATTTGTGTGCCATTTCTACACTTTCTACATCATTGTTTAGTGCAAAAGCATATACACAGTCAACAAACGTGGGTTGTGGTTTATCCAGAAGTTTAGTGAAAACTCAAAATTCCAGACAAATGATCTTCCTTTCTCTTTATTCTCCCAATCCTTATCCACGACTTCATTCTACCTACTCCATTAACATCCCCACCACAATACCAATCCATTAGAAGAATCCACAGAGTTGTGCTGCTCTAAGTATCTAAAGACCCCCTAGGGACAACCTTCAAACCTAACTCTTTAGAAACTTTTACAGCAATTGGATCAAGTAATTTTGCAAATGTTCAATCCAATAAAATAAAAAGACACACAAAATGCAAATTTACACCTTATTCTGTTTTCTACTCAGTTGTTTTTACTGTATTTTACAAGTTGGAAGAGGCACAGGACACAGTCCTTCACCATTATGAGAAGCACTTCTAGAGCACAGCAAGTTATGGGCGTGCAGGAGGCAGCTGATCAATGATTCTCTCTCATCATTGATGTTTCTATCTCTCCCTCTCCCTCTCTGAAATCAATAAAAATATTAAAAAATATATATATAAAAGTAACCACTGCAGCCCTAACTGGTTTGGCTCAGTGGATAGAGATAGCATCGGCCTGTGGACTAAAGAGTCCTGGGTTCAATTCCAATCTGGGGCATGTACCTTAGTAAGCTTGATCCCCAGCCCTGTTTGGGACATGTGCAGGAGGCAACCAATCAATATGTCTCTCTCACATCAATTTTTTTCTCTGTCTCTCTGCCTCCCTTCTACTTTCTCTAAAAAAAAAAAAACCCAAAAATGTACTAGTACATTAAAAAAGTCATCTGGGACAAGATGCCCAGTGTGATATGCCCCACAAGGATCCCACATCGTTCAGGTATGGGATTTATATGCCACTAAATCTATTCCCATATTTACGCCTTACCTCCCACCGATGGAGAGCTCCTTAGGATTTTTTACACCTGCTCAAGGACCAATGCATTCAGCAACCCTCTGGAGAGGGTTGTCTATAGTATATCTGTCATTTCTCTCTCTTTTTTTCCCTTTTTTTTAAATCCTCACCCAAGGATATTTTTCCATTGTTTTTAAATAAATAAGAGTAGGAGGGAGCAGAGAGAGAGAGAGAAAGAAAAACATCCACGTGAGAGAGACACATCAATTGGCGGCCTCCCAGACTCACCCCACCAGGGCTGGGGATTGAGCCTACAACCAAGGTACGCACCTTTGACCAGGAATTGAACCCGAGACCCTTCTGTGGACAAGCCGATGCTCTAAACACTGAGCAAAACCGGCCAGGGAAGTACCTGTCATTTCTAAAAGGCAAGTCGATAGAATTCTTATCTCCTGTGGAGGTACTGAACTGGGAGTAAGATGGAAGAGGGGAAAGTAGGGTCTGCAGCAGTGAGGAAAGAAGGGAGATAAGAAGGCAGCCAGTATTTTAGGGGAGAGGCATGGCACCAACCCACCTCTATGTTCTGCTTCTGACAGCAGAAGCAATAATGGCAGCAACTGGCAAATCATAAAGAATGAGAAACTGAGTTGCCCCAGCTGATTTGGTTCAGTGGATACAGCGTCAGTTTGCGGACTAAAGGGTCCCAGGTTTGATTCCAGTCAAAGACATATGCCTGAGTTGCTGGCTCAATCCCAGTAAGGGGTGTGCAGGAGGCAGCTGATCAATGATTCTCTCTCTTCGATGTTTCTGTCGCTCTCTCCCTCTCCCTTCCTCTCTGAAATAAATTAAAAAAAAAAAAAGAATAAGAAATCAGGACCAGAGGCTGCCTTGTCTACCTGATTCTTCATGAAACATGCTATAGGAAAACAGAGTAGAGAACCAACTTGGAAGATAAACAGGGAAGGGAAAATAAAGTTTTATTTTCAAAGCATCTATCTATTCAAAATTTCTAAACTCCCTTTTCTCTTTCTCCTATCTTTACCCGTCTTGAAACTTCCCAGCCCAAACCCAGCTCAGAGGACAGAGCTAACGTTCTGTCCCACTTCCTTCCCATCCCCAGGGCCCTGCTGATCCACTGGCTGGCAGGAAACCTAAGACCATGACCTATGCTCAAAACAGAAAGATAGGCCTGACCAACCGAGTTCCTCTACAAGTGCACTGAGCAAGACAACAACCACTAGCCACATGTGGCTATTTAAATTTAATTTAAAAATCCAGTTCTTCAGTCACACTAGCCTCTTGTAACTAGAGGACACTGCATAGGACAGCAGAGATACAGAACATTTTTATTATCACAGAAAGCTCTATTGCCCAGCACTGCTCTAAAGAGCCTGGAACTGGTTAACAGAAACAGGCAGTTAGTGGTGAAGTCAGAAGTGGGAAAGGTACAACTAGAGATAGTATGAGTTAAGTTGACAAGATAACAGGGCAGTGGCTAGAGATGACAGGGTCACGCTACAATATAGATGAAGTTCAAAACATGCTAAGTGAAAGAAAACAACACAAAAGGCTACATGTTGTATGATTCTTTTTATGTGAAATATCCAGAATAGGCAAATCTATAAAGACAGAAAGTAGACAAGTGGTTCCCTACGAATGGGAGTAAAGGGTGGGGGGAGAGAGGGGAGGGAATGGTTGCTAATGGGTACAGGGTTTCTTTTTAGGGTGATAAAAATGTTCTGGAATTAGATAGTGGTGATAGTTGCACAACTTTATGGATATCGTAAAAATCAATGTCTGTACAATTTAAAAGGGTAAATTTTATGTTATGTGAATTATATACTAATAAAATACAGAGACAGAGAAAAGGAGTGAGGAATCAGAAGACAGGCTGGAAGGGCAGGGGCAAGGCAAAGAAAGCCGTGCTGTAACCAAAGTTATAGAGTAGATGAAGAGTATTTGCAGCAGCACATGCAGAGAGCAGAACATTTAGAGAGCAGAAATGAGGCAGAAAAGATCATTTCTAGGTCTTCCAGCTGCGGAGTTTCTGATTACATTATAGCCCAGCCCACATGTGTCCTTACAAGAAAACCCTTAAATACTACCTTCACATCTGTTTAAAAACCATTTCCAAACCCTTTCATTACTCATTTTTTGCTCTCTCCTTCTTTCCCATTACCTGTTAACCCCCATTGTGTAAAACTTGTTGCATCCCAGTCTCTAGCCACCACCCACTTCTACCAGGCCCCTCTGGCTCACATACTGTACTATGAAAAAACCGGCAAAGAACATCGTAATAAAAAGGACCCAGAAACACTGGCCTAAATTACTTAGCAGCTGGTTCTCTAGTGAGAACAAGACAGAATGTGTCTTTGCTGGAAAAAAAGTAATTTTCATTTGGATAAAGGGAGCTCTTCCTATGTTAGTTGAGGTATTAGGTACTAGAAAAAGCTATCAATAAAGGTTTTTAAGACATCACTCAGTAATAGAACAGCCAACAATCTGCTTGTAAAGGTTTTCAACCTTTTCCCTGGAGGTATGGAGATAATGTCTGGAGTGTCTATCTCTGTAATCATCTCTAATTATAAAAAAACTCACAGGGCTTATCGTTCATTCAAACTTATTTTCCAAGTTCCTACAATGTGCCAGATACTACACACTATAAGGGTCTATTAAAGTGGACGGAACAATTTCTGTCCTAGAGGCAGTGGCACTGAACAAATGGAAGGACGCAAGTATAATACCCAACAAATGCTTTAGCAAATGAATAGAAGTTCTGACGGGGTGGGGGGAAGTGGCTAATAGCCCGGCCAATGTGGATCAGTGGTTGAGTAGCAACCCATAAACCAGGTCATGGTTTGATTCCTGGTCACGGCACATGCCTGGGCTGTGGGCTCGATCCTCGGTAGGGAACGTAGGGAGTGTGCAGGAGGCAGCCAATCTGTGATTCCCTCTTATCATTGATGCTTCTATCTCCCTTCCTCTCTTTGAAATCAATAAAAACATATTTTCTTAAAAAATGGCTAATAGTTTTATTTTATTTGGAGGGGGAAATATGTGCAGAAATTAAAGGTGAATGGACTAAGCAGCTGGGAAAAGTGCTATACAGCACAGAGGTATGAAAGCCTAAAAGATGATGAGGAAATGGTAAGGACTTCAGAAGGAAGAGGAGAGAAGATTGAGATAACATTAGAAAGTTAAAAAAAAGAACTTGAGAAAGTTAGGAGTAGAAAATAATCTAAACTATTGGGGGGGGGGAGAAAATATGTATAAATGAAAATCGGTAAGAATAAAGAAATAGGTTAGAGAGACCAATGAGGGGCTTTCCATATTATACTGAAAGAACTGAACTTTAACCCAAGATTTTTAAACAAGGATCACATCTGTCTTTTAAAAAACATTTGGCAATGACCTAGAAGATGATGATATAAAGTGAGGAAATATGGAGATCAGGAGGCTCTTGAAAAAAACTAGCTCCTAAAATTAGGAACCAGTCCTAGGCAAAGCTGAGAAATCTGGGGGGCAGAATCCACTAGAACTTGGAGATCACTCCATCAAGGAGATGAGAAAAGGGGAAGAAGTTGCCAATCACTCTTGGATTCTAGTGTAGACAATATAAGGGATTGTTTGTACGTGGGGAAGCCTTCAGATGGAGATATTCAAACTAAGTCAGAGAGCTCAGGGGACACTTATGGAATACATATAGAAATCTGAGGATCAGAAAAGCACATTAGCACCCCCTTAAGCAATGGGAGAGCTAAGAGAAAAGACCTAAGATACAACCCCTGGAGAACATCCATGTCTTACAGTGCATGCAAAGTAAGAGGAACCAATGGAAGCTGGAGTGGTCAACGCAGAATCAAGGACATTGTTACATGTGAGAAAAGGCACTCGGGGTCAGGCCCCAGGGCCCAGAAATTTTAAAATAAGATACATTGCTAGATCACATTCCCAGGCAATATCTATTCAGAGGTAAAAGCATGGAGGTCAAGCCTCCTGCTAAAGTCGTACAGGTGTAAAGGGCTTACAATCCAAGAAAGGGGTGGCAAGCACACACCTTCTCAAGAACTTTCTTCTTCCTAACTGTATGGTGTGTGTTTTGGTATATGGTGTCCACTGAGGCCCAAGGACTTGCAATAATGAGAAGAACTGATGGGTAACTCTGCTCAATGACAGCGGAGGCCTGGTCTAAGGGGTAAAAATAAGAAGTGTATCATTAAAATTGCATTTTAGGCGCCCAGGTTGACACCAACTCTCCTCAGGCAAGCCAGTTTTACCCCCTCTCAACTGAGTTTCTCATCTGTAAAATACGGGCAATAGCCTATGCCCAATTAACCTCAAAAATCTTTTGTGAAGATACAGGGCTAAAGCAGATGTGAATGCACTAGGTGGGAAAAAATGATATAACAGTCTACTCCCTGATTACCTCTATTCAGAATGGCCTACATTCAGCCCATTAGTTCTCACACTCTGGTGTACACAAAAACTACATGGGATATCGTTAAAATACAGATTATTAGACCCTACTCCAGTGTAAGAATATCTGGGCATGGGCCCAAGAATCTGCAATTTTATATTCCAAGTGATTTTCATGCAATGTTCCATAGCCAGCCTTCCTGGGATGCTCAATCAATCCAACCTTTTAAAAGATGAGAAAACAGACTGAGGAAAAATGCTATATCTAAGGGTTAAATACTAGGTAGCAACAAAGCAGAGAGAGAAAGTGTTACAATGAAAGGTAATTTGAGCCACAGAGTCCTATTTCTAGGGATCATATATCTGGTACATGGGAATATTTTTATTATATAGTTAATCTTTACTATGATGCCATTCACTGATTTCACCTGTTATCTACTCTCATAAAAAGACCTAAATAACTATTATTTTTGGAGACTACAGGGAAGGCATAGGATCTATTTCAAACAAGCAAGTCAACTAACTTTGAGGACCACTAAACTTTTCCATGAAGAGCTATTCTGAATCTATTATCCACATCAGTTACACCCAACCCCAGTTTAGCCTGATTTGCATGTGGAGGCCTAAACTCAGACTTGCAACTATCCCATTATCTAGAAAATATTCTACCATTTAATATTCTTGGCTTTGAATAACTTAAGACTCATTTACTTGAGGTCCCAAATACTCTGAAGCCTGGTTAAAGTAGCTGAAATCAGGAGTTATAAATGTGTCCCCTACAAAGCCCAGAATTCAGATCCCCTGTAGCTACAACTCAGGGCCAGGTTAGCGTGTACAATGGCAGTGTCACTTCTTAAACAAGTACTGCAAACTAATGAGCTTCTCATCCCCATGTTCAAAATTTTTTTGGGCAAATTGCCAATCAAAATTTATCTAATTGGGAGTGTGGGGGCATCTGATATCTCCCAAATCCTGTATTGTGTTGCATTTTCAATTAGATTGGGGTGGGGGGTGTAAAATTCCAGAATTACAGTTTACATGGCAATATAGCATCCTGCATACACTACTAAAAACATCCTCTGTAATAAGTCTAAGAATTTCATCATTATAAATACCTTCCCAAAAGATTCTTTGAAATTACATACCCAACCTAAAGCAATAAAATTACAGTTAAAAACAAACAAACCTCAGAACCTATCATATGGGAAAATATTATAGCTTGGAGGGACAGGAGCCAACACACTTGCTGGTCATATACCGAATGTACCCTCTTCTGTATACAGAACTTCATTATAGCTTTGAGGAAATCAGCAGTAATGAGACAGAATCAGACTCTAATAGATAAAAACAATAGCCCTAGCCGGTTTGGCTCAGTGGATAGAGTATTGGCCTTTGGACTAAAGGGTCCCTAGTTCGATTCCGGTAAAGGGCACATATCCAGGTTGTGGGCTCAGTCCCCAGTAGGGGGTGTGCAGAAGGCAGCCGATCAATGATTCTCTCTTATCATTGATGTTTCTATCTGTCTCTCCCTCTCCCTTCCTCTCTGAAATCAATAAAAGTATATATTAAAAAAGAAAATAACAATAGCGTGGACTTTGGCCTCCTCACCCAAATGTTTCTTCTTAAGGAAAAGAACCAGTTACATTAAATAACAAAGAAAACAACCCAGTTCCTCTGCTTATAAAAAATTAGACAACAAAAATACTTACACGGGACTGGAATTCAAAGAGCAATGATCCACCATCATTTCTGGAAGGAAATCCAACTTAAACGCAGCCATCACCTCACTCTCCCCTTCAGAAGCCAATGATAATAACTTGCTGCACTTGTCTGATCCACAAATACACACAGCTTTAGCTTCCTGGGCCCCGCAAAAAACACAAAGTGGAAACAGGAGCTCAGGGAAACCAGCAATAAGTGCCACAGAAACAGGCAGGACTGGGGAAGGGAAAGGGAGCATTGGATTAAAAGGGGGATGTGACCATGTGAAGGGAGGCTCAGCCCTGCACACAATGAAAGTGCTGATGCACCAGGCTTGTTTTGTGTGATTTTCCCTGGCAAAGCAGTACTAAGTGCACTGTCAGATAAACCGAGTGTCAGATCCATGAAGATAGCAGTGGCTAACAGAGCAGAAGAAACAGAAACTTGTTTCACATCTTCCAAACTCCTCTCCCTGCAAATTAGTTTCTGAGGACCCCCAAAACCTGAAACTACCTGGAAGAAAAAAACACCTCACCTTACATGGTCTGAAAATGTTTTTGGAAACTGGGTTGTTAGCGTTGGTCAAAACTTAGTTTCCACGTGCCCAAGACAGCAATGAGCACAAGTGCTTGGGTCCAAATTAACCTCAGAATAGTCACATAGAGAGGACCACTGATTCGGACTATCAAGAGCATCCAGGAGCAAGCTGGATGAGGAACTGGACACCAGGAACTCACTGCTCACATATGACTACCCGCACTGGACCTTGCTTTCCTGATGGTGCTGAAAGCAAAGTGTGCTTCCTCATCAGAGTGAGGGTCTTTAAAAATTGTTGTTTCAGTGACATTCATTAGGTGGCACAAGGCAGAACTGAACTTCTTCCCTCACTCTGAATCTTAATTTGCCAGAAAATTTACAAGGCAAAAAAATGAAAATGGAATTGTAATATTCTGCCTCTTGACAGAGTACTAGAAAATAATGTCTTTTCAGTTGTTTGACTTTCCTAATAATGAGAAAAAGAAATGGGGCCTGCTAGGGACAAGCACTCAAACATATAAGGAAGGGCAGAGAAATGCAGGCTAAGCCTCTTCGTTCTGTCCTCCTTTAAACCTGCTAAATCAGGATTAATGAATGCAACACAAAAATTCTATTGTGGGGAGCAGTAGAGATGGATATACTTAGCAATAAGGCAGATGTGGTGCTCCCGTTCTCAATTTAGCTCCACATCCCTCCAAACAACAAATGGTGGCATTTCAATATTTAGACGATGACTCTAAAACTGTATCTCTGAAGGTTCCCAAATTTCACAGGCCTTCTTTTCATTTTTATCATTAGGGTTGCCTTACCTCAAAGATTTCACTTCACTCAAGCTCAGTTAACACAGGGAACTTTGAAAAAAGAAGTTATATTCAGCCTTTAAAGAGGTAAACGAATGCACTCCTAAATGTGTATAGTTACTTAAAAAAAAACCCAAGTTAGTATAGGCCTAACTGTTCTCATCTGCATAGAAATGGCTGACACCTATCCTGCATGTGACTGAGGAACGTAGAAACTGTCTTCTGTCCAATATCCATATATAACCATCTAAAACTTACAAGTATAATAGCAGTTAACTACTTTTCTATTTTGTCAGAGACCCTGGCTCATTTGATCTACTGATTTAGAGGCAGAAGTAGCAGGAGCTCTCTTCCATTCCATTGAAGGAGGAAGCAAAAACAAGCTACAAGTGAGAGGAGACTGGCACACAATTCAGTTCACCAGGCCCTGCTGCCAGGCACAGGATGGGAACCCAAGCTGGGACTGGTTAAGTTACTCATTAGGTATGTCCTAGTTTCTCCTGTGTCACTGGTGCTGATCCCATGCCTCCTCCTATAGAAAGCTATCTGGACCAATGAGTAAATTTGTAAGATCAGTTAACCAAATCAGGTTTTTTTAAAATCCTTTAAAAATGAATCAACGAATTTTAAAGACTCCCACTGGTTATTGTTATGCTTTTATTATTCAGTAAAATTACATGGCTTGTAATTATATCTCTGTTTCAATCAGAATCACATCTAGAACAACAGAGTACTTAAATGTGGGAGACTTCACTGAGTAGCCTGGCACTGCTCAGTGCATGAAAGGATGTGCGCTCCTTACAGTAATTTTCACCAAGCCAAATGTTGAGAAGCATTGACTTTATGTTTTAAAATCCACTTTACAATATATAAAGCAACACTTTTAAAATCATACAAGATGGAAATGTTATTACATGAAGGAGAATGCTTCTTTTTAGGCAGGTCACAAGAGTTAGCTCAGTATAATTAAATTCAACATGCTTGGGGTGGGGAATCACAGAAACTAATCACAAATCACTCAATTTTAGAAAAGGGTTACAAAGTTAATTGATGATAAAAACAATTATGGGAATATAAAATGCAAGTGTTAAAATTAAAAAGCAGAATTAAGAGTTATTCCAAAAAAATATGCCCAGGATGTTTTTAATTTCTAAATCAGAAACACATTCCAAACTTTTCCCACAAAGAATGTATTAGAAAAAGAGTTGGCAGAAAGCCCTAGCCAGTTTTGCTCAGTGGATAGAGTGTCAGCCTGTGGACTGAAGGGTCCCAGGTTTGATTCTGGTCAAGGGCACATGCCCAGGTTGCAGGCTCAATCCCCACTGGGGGACATGCAGGAGGCAGCCAATCAGTGATTCTCTCTCATCATTGATGTTTCTATCTCTCTCTCCCTCTCCCATCCTCTCTGAAATTAATTTAAAAAAAAAAAAAAAAGAGTTGGCAGGAAGAATGATAACTAAGGGTCCCTGAAAAAGGACTTAACTTTCCCTCAGTCCCTTTTTACCACCTGTGCTCTCTAATTCTAATATATTTTGAATTTATATTCATGAGTTCCTTTTCTTTCTTTGGTTGTTTGTCTCCATTTTCTTTGCTTTGAATATTCTCTATTTTCTAAGGGCAACAATTCAAAGCCTTATTATGTGTGAAGGTAGGGGCAATCGGTCTGCTATAACATTAAGTTTCTAAATCATTAAAAATGATGGGTAGAGCCCTGGCCGGTGTGGCTCTGTTGGTTGAGTGTTGTGCCATGCACCCAGAGCTCGACCCCCAGTAGTCTGTGTGCAGGAGGCAGCTGACTGATGTTCCTCTCTTTAAAAAAAAATCAATAAAAAAAATTTTTTTAAACTAAAATGATGGGTAGATAAGGGAATCCTCAAAAGAATAGCACAACCTGCCTTTAAAATATCCAAGTGGAATAAGCAGTTTAAAAACTGAATTAGAATGCTAGAAATCACAGCCTTTGTTTTGTCAAGAGTGAAAGAACAAAGTATAGGCGAGAGAGAAAAAAACCCCAACCCAGGTGGTACAAGCAAATATCAGGCTATAGTGTAACCAGGGAGTTCAATAGCAGGTGAAGGGATTTTATGCTTCCACCCTGATAATCTAAATGTGTTTAAAGGGCAAAATGTGAAGTCTAGTTAGATGAGCTTACAGAAAATTAGAGCCTACTGCTGAATTATAAAAGAGAATCTATGTCATTAAAAATCGCCATCAGGCCCAGACGGCATGGCTCAATGGTTGAGTGTGGACCTATGAACCAGGAGGTCACAGTTCGATTCCCGTTTGGGGCACACACCTGGGTTGCGGGCTCCATCCCCGGTGTGGGGTGTGCAGGAGGCGGCCAATCAATGAGTCTCTCTCAACGTTGGTATTTCTAGCTCTCTCCCCACTCTCCCTTCCTCTCTGAAATCAATAAAATTTTTTTTAAATCACCATCAGTGTATGTATATGGAAAAGTATAAAAATCTAGGGAAGTCGTAACCTCAGACAGTTAAGTGGACTGTTTATCTCCCTCCCCGCCCCTCAACTTCTGGCAATTAGATGATGTAAGGAATGCAGAAAAGAAGCAACTGATACAACTTGAAAATAATCAACCAAATAACTTAATTTAGCTTAAAACCTTTACGGACTTAAATTTTCACTTCAAATCAGTGGGTCTCCTGATCCAGCTCCCAATCCAGTATCTTGCATATGCAAAAATATACTGACCTAAATTGGTAAAAAAGTCGTTGGCATCCCACTTTGTGGGAGTTTTGCAAAAAATGTGAGTTAAGTATAATTTAAAACAAGCCAGAAAACTTTGTAAGTTTCCAATAAGAATATAGACCAGTGATGGCGAACCTATGACACGCGTGTCAGAGGTGACACACAAACTCATTTTTTTGGTTGATTTTTCTTTGTTATGGCATTTAAGTATGTAAAATAAATATCAAAAATATAAGTCTTTGTTTTACTGTGGTTGCAAATATCAAAAAAAATTTCTATATGTGACACGGTACAGAGTTAAGTTAGGGTTTTTCAAAATGCTGACACGCTGAGCTCAAAAGGTTCGCCATCACTGATACAGACAATGAATTTTTCTGAACTTGGGGGAAAGGGAGTTTTAAAGTAACAAAAAAAATATTGTAAGTAATTTTTCATTTCAAATCTAAAATCACTGTTAGACAAAAAGCACTGAGTTCAGTGACTGTTGTATCCAAGTTGGTTTGCCTGTAAAAGTATCATATATGGTGTACTGAAAGGACATGGAGAAAGGGAGAAAAAGTACCACCTTTTTGAAATCTAAAAGGTTTTCCATTGCCTCCCCCATCCTTAATCACTACTGTCTCCTCCCCCAATCAGTGTCAAAGGACCAAGAGAAAGAAGACCTCTTCTCTACTTAGTGCTGTCAGCAAAAGTTTGCTCAGAACCTCCCTTAGAGTGTACTGTCAAATTGTGACCACCCTTCAAATCAGGTCATATTTTCAGATACCAAACTAGCTCTGGAACTTAAGTGTAATTTTTGATTTAAGGTCCAGTGATGATTAAAAAATCAGTATGTTGAATAATTTCTGGTTCCAGGAAGGTAACATTATCTGTGTAAAATCAGTTAAATTCTGTCCTCATCCTTGTTCTAGTTTATTTGGGGTCTTCCAGTTATGAAGGAGAATGGGAAAGAAAGTCAGCTGGGTAGTTGATGAGGGGAATACTACTACCACCTCCCCCTGCCCCCCCCCCCCCGCCCTTCCTTCCCTTCCTCCCTCTCCCCACCTCTCCCAAAGCTATTAGAACTAGGCAACAACTAGTTCAATTGGGAGATAAGCCTGCCTTGTAAAATTTTACCTAAGGAGAGAGAGTTGGGAAAGGGCTAGAAAATATTTCTAGTTTCCTAAGAACAGGAAATTATATCCCATAATGTAGAAAAAAAGCCATCACCTTTCTGAAGGCAATTTTTTCATATCTGCACAACAGGCCTCATGCAAGAAGGTTAAAAAGATGCCCACGGAGCACACCCATCCAGCAGTTAGCCCATACCTGTAGCTTTACACCTCCCTCTCTGGACTATGTCTTCACTCTAAAAAACCAAGGAAAGAAAAATAAGTGGGCCATGCCTACAAATCTCATAATCCAGATATGTAATGTATCTTCTTTCCAAAGAAAAGCCCTCTTGAAGCATCATCCCATGCACGGAAAGGTCGAGTCCAGGTCAGGGCATGTGCCCAGGTTGCGGGTTTGATCCCCAGTTAGGGCACATGTGGGATACAACCGATCAATGTTTCACTCTCGTATCTCATATCAATGTCTCTCTCTCTCTCTCCCCCTCACCCCCTTTTCCCTCCCTCTTCCTCCTCTCTCAAGTCAATTTAAAAAAAGCATGTCCTCGGGTCAGGATTAAAAAAAAACAAAACAGAGCCCTGACCAGTTTGGCTGAGTGGATAGAGCGGCAGCCTGCGGACCAAAGGGTCCCAGGTTCAATTCCGGTCAAAGGCATGTACCTTGGTTGTGGGCACATGCCCAGTAGGTGGTGTGCAGGAGCAGCTGATCGATGTTTCCCTCTCACAGATGTTTCTACCTCTTTATCCCTCTCCCTTCCTCGCTGTAAAAAATTAATAAAATATACATATTTTTAAATTCCTTTCCTCTTTTAAAAAAAAGATTACCTCCCTCTCCCATTTTTAAAAAAATTATTTTTATTGATTTCAGAGAAGGGACAGGGTGAGATAGAAACATCAATGATGAGAGAGAATCATTGATAGGCTGCCTCCTGCACATCCCCTACTGGGGATCAAACCTGCATCCTGGGCATGTGCCCTGACCAGGATTGAAACTGTGACCTCCTGGTTTTCATAGATCGATGCTCAACCACTGAACCACGCTGGCTGGGCCCTCTCCCATTTTTAAAGTACACAATACCTTAAAGATTAATTGCATTTAACAAGTTAAAACTAATTTAAAAACACCATCAACTTAAAAGATGGGTAATCAAAGTTCCAAAAGGCTTAAAAGAGCCTTGCCCCCAAATGTCAGACAAATTGTAAAAAATGATTAGGATTCATGAGGTTGAATTTCAATACATCTAAGTCACCAAAACAATCATTTTTAACATCTGCTTTTGGATGGAAAACTACAATAAAGCTAAAGGCTGCACAGTTCTTTTCACAATTAAGGACCGTGCTATTAATGTAGAGAGGCCATGTTATTTCCCCAAAGCAACCTTCCTGAATAGGTGCCAGGCATAAAATTCTTCAAAGGCAACCAAGTCCCTGCCTGTGTAAATGCTTCTCGCTAGCCCGGTAAATGCAGGGTGGTGGTGAACCACTGAAACCAAAAAAGTCAGAAGATAAGGAAGTTAATTGAAGGTAAAAGCAAACAGAGTAACCACAAAACCAATTTGTTTTATTTTTAAACATTATCAAACAATCTTGCAAGTAAAGATCGATTCTGTAAAGCTGCCCAAATCCTTACAAACATCATCGACAACTCCTCCAACTATATACACAGAGAACTGCTCAAAGTCAACAAGGACGAAGTCTACACTGGAAAGTATAAGAACCCTGAATGTCAAAGCCAGAACCAGAACTGAGACACTGCACTCTACCCACCCTTCCTGAAGACAAAGATGTTCCTTGACAAGCATAAAATCAGAACTGAGGTGGTTTTCTGAACAGTAAAATCGAATAGATTACTACAAATCAAGGAATTAAAGATGCCATAGATGATAAATGTGTGCATCTCAAAATTAATAAAATATGGTACTTAAAATTTGTAAATCTTATCTGAAAGTAGGGAGAAATGTCTAGGTATTTACAAAGTGATAATAATTATGAGCTAACATTTTTTGAGCATTTATTATATGCTGTGCAGTATCTTGGTGCTTTATATTTAATCCTCATACCTATCCTAACCTTATTGATAGATGAGAAAAGATTCAAAGAAATTAAATAACTGTCAAGATCACCTGAATCCAGGCAATGAAGAAGTTTGGAATATAAAGCCAGATACTTTAGCCCTGGCCAAGTGGTTTACTTGGTTGGAACCATCATACCATACACCGAAAGGTTTCGGGTTCGATCCCCAGTCAGCAACTGATCATTTCTCTCTCTTTCTCTCTCAAATCAATAAACATACCTTCAGGTGAGGATAAAAAAAAAAATGTTCAAAGCCAGACACTTCAAACCTTGGGTGAAAGGAGAACTCAGGTTAAAAACTGTGTACAAGGAAGATCATATCATATACACAAACCAACGAAAAGACTGTTTAAATGCTGAGGGCCATAAAGTTGAGTCTGACCATTCTTCTAAGACAAATTTTCTAATAGATAAATGTAGGAAGTCTCAGTCACATGAGAGATACAATTAAGGGTAGTGAAAACGTCATGCTGTTACTCAGTAGATAAGTGACTCTGAGCAAGTTAATGTATCTATTTCAGTGTCAGTTTCCTCACCTATAAAAGAAGACTTGACTACCTATCTCAAAAGGAAACAAAGGGATTACTAGAACTCAAGCCACTGTACAAATTTCTAACTGGAAGAGGAGAGAATGATAAAAATGACTTGGGAAAATTGTACTTTAGAATGTCTGTCTGTTACCTGTTAGACTGCCTGCAAAGTCCTTTCTTTTTTGCCTATTATGTGGCTGGTTCAATAGGAAGGAAGGCTGGGCTTACTGCTTTGGAAAATTGCATGTCCTCTTGCTCCCATACTCTAGAAATCCAAGTAACCACATAATAGGATCACCTTCAAAGCTTTCCACACTTATCATACTAGCCAGGTTCATCTCTATGCAAAACTCCACCAGAGAATGGTGCTAAAATCCAGTACAGTTTGACTGGGGTAGCCAATCTACTTATCTTCCTTGGGAACCTGTAGCAGAGAAATAACAGTTGCCTTCAGATTCTAATCCAAGATCCTGGGCACACACATCACAACTAATGGAGTAGAATCTACCTCAGAAGACTAGTGCATTAAAATAAAGTAAAATATGGAAAAGCACTCAGCAATAAATAGGTGGACCCAAGACTGAATGACCATAGAAAAACTATTCACCAAGTGCTTTCTAATCTGTAAATGGGGATGACTAAGTGGATTAAACAGGTACACTGAAGCAGGAAGTAAATTCCTTTCTAGTTCCGTTATTCCCAGAGAATCTCCTTCCACTCTAATAAATTACTCTATGTTGAACAATCTGGGTCCTGTACTGCACTAGGCTTAGTTCTGACTTGTCTTGGTCGACAGGGATAGAACTTAACACTTGCTCTGTGAGGTATACAAAAATCCGTCTTCCCTTGTGACACTGCTCTGTGACTACTATTTCCATGATTCAGGCTTAGGTTTAGGGCTTCTGACTCTTTACTGACTGAGTCATCTATGTGTGTCCTCTCCCTGACCCTAGTAGAAGAGTTTATAAACAGATCCCAGTCTCATCTCCTCCACTGGCCAGAATGCTCATCCTTTATTTAGTGGCAACAATTTTTTTCCCAGCTTTTAAAAAAAGCTGTGGAAAAACACATACATAAAATTTACCATCTTAACAATGTTTAATACAGTTCAGTATGTCAACATTGTTGTGAGATGTGGCAACAATTTTAAGGTCTTGCCTTTTTCATCAAGTTTCTTAATCTGAGAACTTAAGATCTCTTCAAAGTCCTCAGATGAGCTTTGAAGAAAGGGGAGTCGTAGGTCTATAAACCCATGACTTTTTCCTTCTTCTGTTTTTTTTTTTTTTTGCGGAAGTGGGTGAAGATGGATATGGGAGATTTCCTGAAGAGAGAATCTAAAATTTTCATCAGATTCTCTAATCACCTGAGCTTTGATTCTCTCTGCTGCAAAGGAACAAAACGGTATGTTAGACAAAGGCCAGATCTGATGTCATTTGTGTGATCTTGAGTGAGTCACTTTTCCCGGGCTTCAGTTTCCTCATCTATAAAACTGGAATACAGGACTAGATTAATCCAGATTATCGCTAAATCATCTAAAAGCACAATACTATTTTCTCCAAACAGATTTCAAACCATTATTTAAGGTCTAGTTCAATTCCCACCACATATGAGATACACCTAGGAGAAACTATGTATAAATCTCATTTCTAAATTTGTATTAACAAAGTATTTTTCATATGCTATCATTTTGTGAACAAATAAGTCCCTCCTTCTCTTTTCTACTTATATCTCAAAGACACCTGGAATAAAGATAACACAGTATCAGACCTTCAATTGTTGAACTGGGATTCCCTAGTTTATCTGGTCTAATTTATAAATTTTGCATTAACATTTACATTAATATATCTGCACATAAATATGTATACCTTTTCATTAAAAAAAAAAAGTCTCCCCGCTTTCAACTGCGGGTATTTCGGTAAAAGCAATGTTATGAGCAGCCTTACTGTTTAATAGAAGACTTACTAAGTACTTATTTCCCTTTAACTTTTCTACTTCCTCAATTTAAAAAAAATTACCTGTATAGGTTAACCTTTAGGTAAAAAAGCCTACCAGGCTCTTTTCTATGTATATATTAAAATTCATGCACACTCAAGTATATATCGTAATTATTATCAAAGTAAGTATACTGTATGTTCTATTGTGTAACCTACTTTTTTCACTTACAATTATAAACATTTTCTTGTGAGCAGCCCATATTTAAGAATCAGTCAGAATTGGCCTGATTTTGCCAATAACATCCTTCCTATATGTCACAACCAACCAATAAATATAACAACACCTATTTTACAAAACCAACATAATTATCCAGTCCTCTGAAATTGCTAAAAAAAAAACAAGGCAGTGCCCTAACCGGTTTGGCTCAGTGGATAGAGCATCAGCCTGCAGACTCAAGGGTCCCAGGTTCGATTCTGATCAAGGGCATGTACCTGGGTTGGGGGCACATCCCCAGTAGGGTGCATGCAAGAGGCAGCTGAATTGATGTTTCTCTCTCATCGATATTTCTAACTCTCTATCCCTCTCCCTTCCTCTCTGTAAAAAAGCAATAAAATATATTTTTTTAAAAAAGGCAGTGAAGTTGGATGAGGGTGAGAGTTGGCTCTTTGTTTCTCCTTCCTTTCCCTGTCATCCCATCTTTT